CCCCTAATTGTGGGAAATTTGTTTCATCAAACCGACAATCTGCAAATCGAGAAGTGAATAAATCTCTTATGAATGGTTCAAGATAGCGAATAATAGAGGGTGATTCAAACCCAACATATATTCCTAACCTTTTCTATAGGCCTATCTTATTGCATTGTGGTGGTGCTACTGGCACATAAACAGCACATCGAAAAATTTGTAGATGGGCAATATTTGGTTCATAACCAAAAACTAATTGTGACGAAGAATATTTATTATAATGTGTCGGTCTGAGACAGATAAGTGATATTGCATGCAAGATAGCATGGCCCCAAACAATAGTGGGTAATTTTGTTTTCATAAGTAGTGGTCTTGCTATCAATTGCAGGCGTTTAACAAATAACTCTGCAAGGCCATTTTAAGTATGAACATAAGCTACATGATGTTCAACTTTTAATCCAACTGACAGACAATAATCATCAAAAGCTTGAGATGAGAGTTCTCCAGCATTATTAAGGCGAATAGCCTTTATAGGATAATCTGGGAATTGTGCCCTTAATCGAATTATTTGGGCTAATAACTTTGCAAACGCCAGGTTTCGAGATTATAGTAGGCATAAATTATCTATTAGGACCATAAAATATCTAAACAACCTACTTTGTGGGTGAATATGTCCATATATATCCCCATATATACGTTCTAAAAAGGCAGGAAATTTAATGTCAATCTTCATTAGTGATGGTCTAGTGATCATTTTACCTTGATAACAAGCATCACAAGAAAAATCATCATTTGTAAGAATCTTAAGGTTCTTTAATGGACGCCACTCAAATTTTCAATAATTCGTCTCATCATTATTAATCCAGGATGACCCAAACGGTCATGCCAAAGCACAACAATATTTGAATCAATAAACTTCTAGTTTACGATAGAGTGTGCTTCAACTGTACTAATCTTTAAATAGTATAAGGCAGAAGATAAAGTTGGTAACTTTTCTACAATGCACTTTTGGCCAGAAACATTCTTTGTAATACAAAGATATTTCACAATCATTTCATCTATCGTCTCAACATGATATCCATTTCGACGGATATCTATAAAACTCAACAAGGTTTTTCGGGACTTGGAGAAGAATAATGCATTGTCTATAATAAGTTTTGTTCCCTTAGACAGAAATATAGTGGCTCTTCCGGAGCCTTCAATCAAACTTATATTACCCGAAATTGTTGAAATATTTATTTTTTCCTTATGTAAATTAGAAAAGTATTTCTGATCTGTGAATATGGCATGAGTTGTTCTACTATCAATTACACAAATATCTTAATGATTGGTCTTTGATCCAAACATAATTTGAGCATTATCCATATTCTTCAAAATATATTATAGTAAATATCATTATCAAAGCATAACTTTTATTTATGTACAACAATTACATAAACATACTATCTACTACAAACAACAAAAATTAAAATATTTACATTTCTATAGATTCATCACCGATCACATGACTTGTTTCTCCTTCTGGGAGTGCAAAGTAATCAGCTACATCCAAATGCATGAAGTCTAAATTATCTTCAGAAATAAAATTTGTTTTAACATTTTTCTCTGTTTTCTTCAGAGAGGCTTGATAAAGCTCAACCAGGTGCTTTGGCATACGACAGGTACGCGACCAGTGTCTTTTTCCTCCACATCTATAATATGCATTTCCTGCCTTTGTTGCTTGCATCGCTTCATGCTTGTGTTCCTTCTTTTTCCATTGTTGATGTTGAGTAAGGTTCTTTGGTGCATTATTATTACCATAATTAGAGTTTCTTCCCCGACCACGGCCATGATCACAACTGGGGCCACGACCTCTTCCACGCTTAGCTTGGTGGAAGTTCGTCTCATTCATTTCAGGGAATGGATAAGAACCAGAAGGCCGGCTTTCATGATTTTTCATTAATAGCCCATTATGTTGCTCGGTTATAAAAAGATGTGAGATAAGTTCAGAATATTTTTTGAATCTCATCTCTCGATATTGCTGCTGCAAAAGCATATTCGAGGCATGAAAAGTGATAAAAAATTTCTCCAACATATCATGACCAATAATATTATCACCACATAATTTCAATTGGGAAATAATTCTAAATATAGCAGAATTATACTCACTAATAGATTTAAAATCTTGTAACCTTAAATGAGTCCAATCATATCATGCCTATGGAAAAGTGACTATCTTAAGGTGGTCATATCTATCTTTCAAATTATTCCACAATATGATTGGATCTTTAATAGTAAGATATTCCATTTTCAAGTCCCCATCAAGGTGATGGCGCAAAAATATCATTGCTTTGGCACGGTCTTGGTTTGATACCTAATTTTTGTCCTTGATGGTGTCTGTCAGACCTATCGCATCAAGATGAATTTCAGCATCAAGCACCCAAGACATGTAACTTTTGCCCAATATATCCAAGGTTACAAATTCAGGTTTAGAAAGATTTGACATTATTTAGAAAAAAAAGTTTGTACCTTCGATACTTTCAAAGTATTTGCTCGAGATAGCAGAGTCTCGTGTTAATAACATGTTATAAAATAAAGACTGTAAAGTAAAAATAAATATATAGAGAAACTAATATATTATTCAACTTCAAACTAATATACATAATGAACTGAAATCTCCTCTATTTATAGAAGAAAAGAAGTTGTAAAACTACTACTGCACGTTGTTATATAAATTGCTATTGTACTAGATATAGATAATCTTTTATTGAGATTAATATTTATCAATAATAAAGTACCGAAAGAATAAGCTTATTATATCAGATATAAATAATCTTTTACCGGAGGTAATATTTAAATACTGAAATAAAAGATAGAACAAAATAGTAAAGATTTTCAAAAGAAAAATAATATATTATTATCACGATCGACTAAATAATATAAATTTAAAATAAAACAAAGAGAGTTGACATAAGACGGTTGCGCGGTCAACGCGCAATAACGACAATAACAATAGTAATCGTACTAACAAACTGAATCAACTAATTTTTGAATAGAGGACCCACGTCAAAACAATCTCGTACGTGATAAAGACCAAGGAATCGGTTGCCCTTCCGCAACCACCCCAATACATTCTGATCATATCCATAAAACCTCAAGCACCGAATGCAGCAAGCAAATTACCAACCTAACCTCGATTTAATTAAAAAAGTGTACATTGTACCACTGAAAGGGGACCACTAACGGCGTCATAACGGTGCCATGAAAACGAAACCTCATGCAACCTAGGAGATTTTTTAAACGTACTATATAAGGACCAACAATTTCCTAACTTACAGAAATCCTAACGGCGTCAAAGGTTCCCGAGTGAATCGAGTCTTCTCTAGCCGCTTCACTCGCCGTGTTACTGTTTGACTGCAGAATTACTTATACCCCGGCTAATGTTTCTACCTAAATAAAAGTACATATGGCGCATGCGAAAAAATTAAATTACACTTGTTTAAACAAGGAATATATAATGTGCTTTTTATATACATTTTTATCAAAAAAAGTAACCCGATACAAAGTATCTCGCATTCATATATGGTCCAAAAAAAATTAAATTCTAAGAGTGTAATGTAAATCACTTACTCTAATACAAATATTAATAGCTGACTCCACGATACAAACCCATGAAATTGCATTTTTACCTCAATTTACGTACATTTTATCACTGAGTCAAATTGCATGCTTCTTACACATTTCAATCATGTAAAATAGTCTCTATAATTTGACGTAAATATCAGGTGTGAGTAAAATTTCTTTACACGATATTTATTGGTTTATTTAAATAATAATACATAGAATAAAATAATGGAGTTTTAATAGTTTACCGGGAAAAAAAGTTACCAGTTTCTCAAAGAGCTTTATCTGAGTCTCGGAATAAAAGCACTGGTATTTCTGTTTTGGCTTCTTTCCTACTTTCTCTCTCCCCTTTATGGAATACTCTGTTTCAGTTTCTCCTTGCCGTCCACTGCCTCTGTGAGATCTCCGGCAGTACCTTCATCCCTTCAGGTCAGTAAAAATTTACTAAGCTCCCAAATTTTAACAACTTATATCCAATTATATGTGAATTTTCTCTAATTTTTAGATGCTTAAGAAAGTTGCAGAAATAAGCAGCATTTCTTGGTAAAATGATCAAAGATTTTATGCAAATTTTGTTTTTTCAGTCAGATTGCTACAATCTTTCACTGATTACACCTAATTTTTCATTTATATCTTAAATTAATGAAAATGAAATTTCTGGTGAGTTACAGAATTTACATTCTGTTTTTATCCTCCATTCACTGCCTCCATCATGGCAGGATAAGTAGATATACAGGCTCGTCTTTTTGAGATCTGAGCTGAAAAAATTTATTCGGTTCAATTAAGGGTTTCTTAAAAATTATGTTTTTGGAAAGTTTCAGATATTCTGTTTCTCTTCCTACAAATTCATTTTTGATTTCTGTGTCTTTTACGGTTTTGTTTTGCAAGATGATTTCATAAAACAGTTCCCCGACTGAAGCAGTTATTATTACACCTTGTATAAGTCCTGCCTTTTTTTTCTTTATTTTTCTCCTTTCTATGAGAGACTACTTTGAGGTTATCCCTGCAAAAAAACTGTCTACCATTTTATCCAAATAAAGGAAAATAAAGGCAGAAAATTTGGATTTTTACCAGTCTGACGCTGCGGCATGGACGGAAGACAAGGAAGCTCAATTCCACAAACAGAAGATTTTCAGATTGCCAATTCATGGTTACCAACAACTCCAGCAAAACCAAGTTTGTCATCAATCTGTGGGAATAGGCAACAAAATCAACTAGCTCAAGATAATGGGTTGGAGTTGAAAAGAATTTCACAAGGACAAGGTCTAAGCCAAGTGAACCAGTTAGAATTGAGGAGTTTCTTGCAAGAACCTGAAGGTCGACACGTGCCTGCATGTCCTGGTTCGACAAATTCAGCAACAGTAACAGAGTATTTTGACACTTGGGAAGCAGCACCAGGCACAAAATCCAAAATGTATGGAGACAACAATATTAAAATGTACAATAACTTCTCCAGTACTGATGATGTAGACAAATGGAGCAATGTGTCCTTCGGACATCTCTTGGCACTAGCACATGCTGCTGGATCCACAGCCGCCGCTGAAAATGCAGAAACTAATTTTACCATGAGCGGTTCTTTCAATCCCCTTGTCAGTTCTCAGGATGCAGGTAAAGAATTGAAGTATTCATTGATTTGTCGTTATGACATAATAAAAATGCATAATGCCTGAAGCTTCCAGATTATGAAATCACATTCCGTGTGCATGTCATAAGTGTCTTGAATGCGACTCAGTGGCAGTGTCTTCACGGATAACTAAGACCTGCAAAAGGATAGAGAATGAAATACAATAAGATCATTGATAAGCTTTGGTTTAGGTAAATCAAGCTGACTGACATCTATAACTTACAATCTTTTTGAAATATTTGGCTGCTCATGAAGAAGTTATCTAGCATTTAGTTGAACATTCTAGCGAACGCTTGATAAAGTTACAAAACAGACTATAGAATCAGGTACCTTCATTAAAATCAGAGGTGAAACAAACAGTGACGTGTTTTCTCTAATAGTGTGCTATTCAATAAGTGATGTCTTTCTCATTTGTCCTGATATTCTTAACAGTTAATTTTTTGAGACATGTGGTACCCGCTTCGACATTGTTGTGTTATGTTCTACTGTGTTAAACATTAATTCAGCCAAACATCAAAAGATATTTTCATGGCTTAGCATACTCAACTAGAATCTTTAGAAAGTGTTGTTTCAATTCTGAGATTTCCTCAATAAACTAACATGAAAGAGGTGCCTATCACGCAGATGGAAGCTCTATTTGCTCGAGATTCCCTTTTAACCTGAATTCACCAACAGATGAAGTCTTGAGAAGCAACAACACTGTCCACTTTGAACCAATAACACCAGACCAGATCAAGAACAAAGGGGGCCGAGCATCTGATGAGTCAAATCTAGACATTAACGAGACACCGCTACCAAGCCACATGCAGTCATGTGAAGATACATTAAAGAGAGCACAAGCAAATGATCCTCAACAGAAGAAAGAGCAGTCAGGGCTGGTGTTGAACGTATCAGAATTGCAGGAGAGTCACAAGCCTGACAAGGCGGACGAACAGGATGCTGAACAGAATAATACACCACAGCAGAAACGAAGAAGGAAGAAGCACCGGCCTAAAGTGGTAATTGAAGGCCAGCCTAGAAGGACTCCTAAACCAAAAAAAAACCAGCAGCATCGTTCAAAGGAAACAACAGGAGAAAAGAGGAAATATGTCCGAAGGAACAAGGTTGAGGAACCTCTATGCACACCCTCAGACAAGGTAGACGGTATGACTAGTCCCCAGAGCCAACTTCCTAGTTCCAGAGAAATCCAAAGAGCAAAGAGGAGGTATGTCAGAAGAAATAAAGTTAACAAGCCCGCACCAAATCCTGTCGAAGATGAAACAATTGATCCACCAAATATTTCTCGTCCAAGAAGATCCTGCAGGAAATCATTGAATTTTGACTCAGAAAGTAGATTAAGTGATGAAAGCTCTTCACACTGGCCCTCTTCAACTGTGGAGGACTTGCATGAGAATCAATCCCGTTCTAGTGTACATCTTGGAAAGGATATTGAAGTCACAACAGGAAAGACAGAATTGGGCACAGTTTATGACATCGCATGTTCCAGAGGAAAGTGTAAAATCATTTTCTCAGATGAAACTCATGATAAACAGGCAAGCATTTCAGAAATGACACCAAAGAATCTGTATGATTCCAACTGTAGCAGCAGCGCATGCTTGATCCAGGAAACACCAGAAAGAGCCTTGAAAAGACAACATTCTTTTAGAACTAATGAAGCAGAACTTTACAGCACAAATGTCAAGGGAGCCTACTTCAACTCCATGCAGGCATATCAAGCAATCCTCCCAGCAAATGAACCTTATGCTCACAGTACACAAGGGATGCATTTTCCTACAATTTACAAGAAAAAGAGAACAGAAAAGGGCCATCCCACAGCAACGCCTTTTACATGTGAAACTAACTATCTGTCTTTGTCTCAGTGCAACATTGGTCTTTCCCAAGCCAGTACGTCTGCAAATGACAAAGCTAATAATAGAATGTGGAATCCCGAACTTGTACCAGCATTTGTAGAAGCAGAGGGGTTAAGAAGAAAAAGATCAAAAGGCATAAGTAAAGTACGTGACTTAGCATCACTGCTTGAAATTTGCAAACACTTTCCTACTCCTCCTGCCAAAGAAGCATCGATATCTGAATTTGGAGAAAGATATTCATATCAGCCTAATACATGCATGGAAGCCCTAGTTGCTGACACCCGTGCAATAATGAAAACAAAAAAGCGGTCAAAGAGAAGCATCCTAGTCAGTTCCACAGCATCCTATATGTATGCTCAACAACAATTCACAACAAATGCAAGGGGTAGTTGGAGCTATATTCTTAACTTTTGGATAACCTTATCAAATAAGATGTGGACTTTAATTGCTCGAAATTGGATGCAGGTTTCCTACCAGCTATAACATGGAGATCCCCAATTGAAGAAATTGCAGAATGCTTGCAGCATCTTGATTTAAATAGAGAAAGCATCCAAGATCAATATCAATATGGGGAAATCACCTACCAGAATAAGTTTCAAGCAGAAAATGCCCTTGTTATTTATCGAAGAGATGGAAGTATTGTCCCTTTTGCAGGATCATTCATTAGAAGACGAAAACCGCGGCCCAAGGTTGACCTTGATGATGAGACCGCTAGGGTATGGAAGCTTCTGCTGCAAGATATAAATAGTGAAGGCATTGATGGTACAGATGAAGATAAGGCAAAATGGTGGGAAGAAGAACGTGGAGTGTTTCATGGACGAGTAGACTCATTTGTCGCACGGATGCGTCTTGTTCAAGGTAAGTGTACATAGCTTTCACATCTTTATAGTGGCTATCAAATAAGCATACCCCCAGCTAGATTCGTTTGATTAGAAAAGCAGTCAACAATAAATAAAAAAATGCTAGTCTAAATAGGATGGGCAGATGGATAGGAAGAAACACAAACTATCACTAGAAACCAACTTGTATTATAAAGATGCACTAGCAATAAGTTAATCCAAAGATTCCAACCTGACAAACACAGATGCACCTGCAAGGTCAAGAAAGAAACCTAAAATCCAGCATGACACGTATCTATACAAATGTACAGTCCCGTAAAGAGAAAGGGGATTATGATGGAAGAAGCAAGCCTGTCCCTATATCTTCATCTGCAAAAGTCTTAGATCGTTACACATTAATCATATAATATCAGCAAACTATTAAGATAATAGATTTAATTTTGATGCAAAACAACCTGCAACTAAACCCTCGTCATACCAATAGAAGTCATGATCAGCTTAACACTAGGATTGCACACCAATCCATCAACCTTAAACGAGATTCCATGTTACCTTGTTGTTTTTCCTTTGTCCTCCAGAAAACTTTATTTCACAAAGGGCCATACCAGAAACAAGCAAGATGTGCATGTAACATTGTCATCTTTTGTATCATTGACCATTTCCTATTTTTCGGTGAGCCAGGAGACAGGCGATTCTCTCCTTGGAAGGGATCTGTTGTAGACTCTGTAGTTGGAGTTTTCCTGACACAGAATGTCTCAGACCACCTTTCTAGGTAAGCTGGACTTTACACCACAGGTTTCTTTTTTAATTTCTCCTTTTTCTGGTACATCCATAAGACATTTAAAACATTGACTTCCAATAAAGCATTTTATCTGCTTTTTAGCTCGGCATTCATGTCGCTTGCTGCTCAATTCCCTCTTAAGTCAAAAGCTGGTACTGAAAAGCATGAAGAGAGAACAGGGATCATAATTGAAGAACCTGAAGTGAGTGGCCTGGAGGCTGATGATACAATTGGATGGCATGATGATCAATCAAGTCAACCAACTCTTGGTCAGAATTTCTTGAGAATCTCTGGTGCAGAATCAAACGATGAAAAAACAGTTGTTAACAGCATTGAATCAAGTGAAAATAGCACTAACTGCATTAGTCCAACTGAAAATTCCATATCGCAGCAACCTGGTTCTTCTAGAGAAAGTTCATGTGTGCATCATGAATCAGCAATGTATGGATCGGCTACAGCTAATGCAGCAACAAGTTTTTCGGAGGATCAAATAGGACCAGACGATTTGCTCTCTTCTCAGAATTCTGTACTTTCTTCTCAAAATTCTGTTAACTTTCCGGTTGTTCAACCTTTGGAAGGAATTGAATCAAGCAACTTTTCTGGCTCCACATCATTTTTGAAGTTACTACAGATGGCAGGAACTTTGAAATCACATGGAGTCCAGGATCAGAACAGTGAAAACATCTTACCAGAAACAGATGTACATGGCCAACTACATGTGGCATGTTGTTCACACTTCCAGAAGGATGAGGAGAATCACAAAGGCTCACTAGAAAATGCTTGTCCTCGTAGCTATTTGGACTCATGTCTGATGCCTAATGTAGGAGCACAAGGAACCAAGTGCAAAGACGACTTGGAAGAAGCTGCAAAATTTCCAGATCTCTCAAGGAAACTCAGTGCAACTGAACAAAGTAAATTATCAGCAGAATCTACAAATCAAGAACTGCATGAAGAGATGAGGAGTGAGGCTAAAATCTCACGCAATCACCATGAAAACAAGGTGGATATAGCAACAATTGATGATCCAGTAGCCAACTTTGAGCTACAAATCCAAATTGAAGAGAGCAACTACAATATGCAGCGAGTAGCAGAAGCACCAACATTTTCAGAAGCCATTGTAGATGTCAGAGAGGAGGTCAGTGTAGTTGTCGATTCATGCAAGTCTGAGCACATAGCTTTGAAGTCGAACTCAAACAACGAAAAACATCATGCTGATAGCACATTAGACAGAGCAAATGACAATCCTAAAGCAAAAAGGAAACGGCCTGGAAAAGAGAAACAGAATGTTGACTGGGACAGTTTAAGGTTACAGGCTCAGAACAATGGTAAGAAAAGAGAAAGGACAGCAAACATAATGGATTCACTGGACTGGGAAGCAGTGAGGTGTGCAGATGTCAATGAGATAGCCCATACCATCAGAGAACGGGGAATGAACAATATGCTAGCAGAGAGAATCAAGGTACACACATGAAAATTGCAATGAATAACCTAATTCTTTTCAAATCTGAACACCTTTATTCATCTATTACAGTAATTCCCGAAACCCTAAGAAATTGCTCAATGAAAAGAAATGAACAATTGCAGGATTTCCTTAATCGGATTTTTAGAGAACATGGAAGTATTGATCTTGAATGGCTGAGAGACGTTCCACCAGACAAAGCAAAGTAAGCTTGCAATTGAGCAAATAATTTCTCAATGTTTATCAAACTATTATTCACCGACTAAACAAATACACATGTATGGTCTCAGAGAGTATCTATTAAGCATCAGGGGCTTGGGCCTGAAGAGCGTAGAGTGTGTGCGACTTTTAACACTTCACCACCTTGCTTTCCCTGTAAGATTTCTGAACCAACTTTTGAAGAGGTAATTAATATGAAAAATAGCCATGTGTTCCCACTAATGCCTTCGTGTCTTTAACAAGGTCGACACAAACGTTGGCCGTATAGCCGTTAGACTGGGATGGGTGCCCCTGCAGCCATTGCCGGAATCGCTACAGTTGCATCTTCTGGAATTGTGAGTATCTTGTCTACGTAAATTTTCTAAAATTGCCTACATAGTCTAACTCTGCTGTTTCTACAGGTACCCAGTGCTGGAGTCAATTCAAAAGTACCTCTGGCCACGTCTCTGCAAGCTCGATCAGAGAACATTGTAAGTAACATTCTTTTCTCGAAAACCAATTTTTCCCAGGCCTGGGCAACAAGCACTAGTTTGTTATTAAATGTAAGTGATCCAATTATAACAGTATACTGCATAGTGGAAGAAAAGATTTTGATTGTAAGAAAGTGCAGAGATTTGTGTGACAGACTAGTAGATTCAGGTAGTTGATTTTTGTAAAGGGAATAATAAATTATATACATGCATAATACTTAACATAGAAAATTACTTTTTCTTCTTATCAAGTGATGCATTTACTGATTCAAACCCTACTTGATTACAGATATGAGTTGCATTACCATATGATCACTTTTGGAAAGGTATGCCAATACCAGTAGTTACTCTCCCCTAAAACTGGTGTATATGTGCAATCACAGTTTAAATCAAGTTCATTTGCTACTTTGTTAGGTCTTCTGTACAAAAAGCAAACCCAACTGCAATGCATGTCCATTGAGAGGAGAATGTAGACACTTCGCAAGTGCTTTTGCAAGGTTTGCCTATTAGTCTATATACTTTCTTGCAAGAATTTATTTATCTCATGTATGTCCATCTTTATTAGTTCTTCTCAAGCTTTTCTACACCTAAACCAAAGAATCATAGTTCCAGAATTGTGGCCACTGAAACAAGATTTGACGAATCTACTTAGGCAACACAAATTTGCATTTAAGCTAATCCACCAGCACTTAAACTCAAAAATGAACCATTTGACAAATTGGTCAGTCACTCAGTGTCGTCAGTGATGAAGCAACTTCAATAGAAACTTTAATATTTACTGATTTCTTCTGGTATAAGATAGAACTGCTACATCTCAACTGCCAAACTCAAGCCAATACCCTTATGGTCAGCACATTCAGTAATGCCTTACAACTAGATTAGCAATTTACTAGTCTAAAGATTGAATGCATTGTGTTTCACATATGGTATTTGACACAATCCTCATTCAGCGCAAGGCTTGCCCTTCCAGCACCAGAAGAGAAAAGCATTGTGAGTGCAACAGAAAACAAAGCAGCTGGCCAGAATCCATTCCAGAACTTCAGCCAACTGTCGCTGCCCTTACCTCAGGCTGATCAAACACCATTAGAGCATTCCAAATTGATCAACTCCGCACCTATTATTGAAGTGCCAGCAACACCAGAGCCCATTGTAGAAGAGCTTGCCTCGCCTGAGCCAGAGCAAAAAGCTCCCGAAGTTGACATTGAAGATGCTTACTTTGAAGATCCTAATGAAATTCCTACAATTACATTGAATATGGCAGAGTTCACTCAAAATGTGAGGAAATTTATGGAAAACAATATGGAGCTTCAACAGGTAGAAATGTCAAAAGCCTTGGTCGCTTTAACTCCAGAAGCTGCATCGATTCCCGTGCCTAAACTTAAGCATATAAGCCGGCTCAGAACTGAACATCAAGTGTAAGTGGATGCTCCTGATATCTACATCATAAAATAAAGTAAAGATGTGCAATAACTTCTGATAGATAGCCCAATATGGGAGGGTAGCCTATTATTTCATACAGTTCTTCTAAATTTGTTTGCACTTACTATCAACTGTTTCTCCATCCACAGATATGAACTTTCGGATTCTCATCCTCTCCTAGAAGGGGTCAGTGATACTACATCAGTTTAATATTCATATATAAGCAGCATGTAAGCTGATATTGAAATTAATCCTCCCGATAATTGCATCTTTTCATGTTGCAGTTCGACAAAAGAGAACCAGATGATCCATGCTCCTATCTTCTGGCAATATGGACACCTGGTAAGATTAATGTAATGTAATACATAGGAGGAGATGTTTCGAAAAAGCTAAAGGCAAAGCATCCGCTTCCGACTACTTTAACCCTAAAACTGATGAATTAGATAACTCATGTTTGTAAGGAACAATTGCACATAGCTAACTATGCAAGTCCCAGGTTCCAATCTCATTAGTAGCTTGTGTTACAGTGGTAGAGGGTAATTTGGCGAAATAGGTTAACTTTTCCCCAGGCTTTCAAAATAACTTATTCTCTGTCATGTATCAATTCCATCTCAGGTGAAACAGCGGATTCTATTCATCCACCTGCAATAAAGTGCAACTCCCAAGAGGCTGGTAGGCTATGTGATGATGAAACATGCTTTGCATGCAACAGCCTACGTGAAGCACATTCTCAAACAGTGAGAGGGACAATTCTGGTAAAGAAAGAGCAAACTAACTGTAATGTTTGTCATGGGAAAGCGGTCTGAGAATTCTAATCATCTCTATATATACTTCTCTAACAGATACCATGTCGAACGGCAATGAGAGGAAGCTTTCCGCTCAATGGTACATACTTTCAAGTTAACGAGGTGAATACAGCCGACTTTAAGCTCATCACTCGAACATGTCAAAGATAAGCATTTTACCATTTAATAAGGTTTTCACAGTAGCATTTTTCTTATTTCTCAGGTGTTTGCAGACCATGACTCCAGCCTCAACCCAATTGACGTCCCACGAGATTGGCTATGGAATCTGCCGCGACGAACAGTTTACTTTGGAACCTCAATACCAACAATATTTAAAGGTAAAAGGACAACTAAAGGATGATCATTTATTTTTTTAAATGCTTTGGGAGTAAAATAACATTAATATGTTCTTTGTTAATCAGGCCTAACCACAGAAAGTATCCAACATTGCTTTTGGAGAGGTATGTAGTCGAAAACTTTAAATCCACAGAGGTCCAAATGCTTGTCTTAACTTCTAATCCATTTCTACTAAATAAATCAACGAAAAGTGTGCATGTTAATACCATATTCAAGTTCAAAAAGACTCTGTATCAAGTTAAATGGGCATAAGCATTCAGCATCAGAACAAAGCTTGAAACTGGGGAAAAAATAATCTGGGAGAACAAGTTTATACAGCTTATATAGAAATAATTGAAGAACCTCCAAGGTTTACCATTTGGTATAGAGTGAGTCATCGAGGATATCTGACGTGATGGTTCGAGAGAAAGTTAAAACCAGAGTCTTATTTGCAGATATGTTGATAATATTTGCTTCTTCATCCAATCTGTTTATGACCGATTAATGCAGACAGCTTATCTTTTTTAAGATAATCTATGAACATGTTATCTTGGTTCTAGTCCATCTTTCGAACAGAAAAATCTGTATTCCCTTCAGCCAATCAGCCCTGTCTCCTCTATTTTTGACTATGGAGCAGGGCCAGAACACATGTATACACTTGAAAAAAGAGTGACATACAGTAATAAGAGTAAACACAGACATAGATGCATGCTCTCAACAATTACACATAATGTGTACCAGTTAGGTTTCCATCAATCAACTTTTTCTTTTTTATTAAGTCCATAATCATCATTCAATCCTTCTTCGGAATGATGACTCCCAAACAAGAAACGGCACAATTAGATACCTTTGGCATCCAAAAAGAATGTATTACAACTTGCTCAGCATCAAAAAACATGTTGGCAAGTTTCATGCTTTCTTTATACACTCTCAGGACAAATCATAAAAACAAAATTTTGAGGAATAGTAATCATTCAGGTCACTAAGAGGAAGAAGTGTTATTCCTTGCTGCAATACCTTTTATTTGCTTTCTGATCAAGTACTTTATTTCGCAGGGTTTGTTTGTGTGAGGGGTTTTGACAAGAAGACACGGGCACCAAGACCACTGATGGCACGGTTGCATTTTCCAGCCAGCAGATTGAGTAAGACTAAAGGAAAGCCAGATGAAAACTAGGGAGCAGTGTCCTACTGAATCAGCAAGGCAGCCACCTAGGCTGAACAAGCTAGCAACATTCAGTAATCAGTACCATGATGTTTTAAACCTTAGGAAAGAAAAGATAGGTATTGTCTAACTTGTAAGTAAATTGTAGCTGATACTTAGGGTGGTCATTTCTATTAGTGACGATCATCGAATTCTTCAACAGGCTAGTGTATCTTTAGCCAACTGAAATTCAAATTCAGTTGATTTTTATACGTCTCATTTTCTCCTCGGAGGATATAAAAGAGTAATAAAAATTGATTCTCTTCCATGTCAATCAATACACTTGGCTCCTAAATTACAAAATAACTGGTTTGGCTCCGCAACACCAACATGAGGCGAATTTGCAAACTAATTCTGATGGTAATTCGTAAAAGGAAAAGCTTCCCACAAGCTAAACAAAACCCCTTTTTTCATAGACGGGAGCTGCAGCAAAATCTTATCAAGTAGTAAAAGCTTGAACAAGGGAACAACGTTATAATGAACACTGTTTTCGACTAAACATAATTAAGACTAAAGGGTAAATATATAAACCAGGACTTGCAAAGAGCATACCAATATATTCATGATACCAGCACCCTGGTAAAGATTAGCTTAAACTAACACCCTATTCATACTACTTCATAAGTTGTCTAAAACAACACAGAAATACGGTTGTTGTTTGCAACTACTGTACTACACTACTACCCAGCCATACAGTTTCGAAAATCACAATTGAACGGAGATGCATATCGTACCTTTTTGAAGCTGAGAAAATCGTATACCATAAGATTTCTGCAACTCCGAATTTCCAAAATGTCACTAGAAGAGAATGAAGAGCAACTTTCAACCTGCACATAAGCATTAGCTATGAGGTGAGCATAAACATGTGCAGCAGCAAATTCAAAATTCAGAATAATGAATTTTGAGTCAAGAGAGTGGATTCTGAAATATATATACTCCATCTAATGGCATATTCAAGCCAAATGCCTTGAGTTCGACATGACAATGGATGTGTAACTTTTGACATACAACTACTTTACACTTTAATTTGCAGGTTTACAAAACCTGGTAGCTTAGGAATATCAAGGTATAACGCAATTATGAGTTGTTCTAATACAATCATAAAAACATATATCGCTACGCACACCTACAAACATGTTCAGTGCACGCAAAAAGCGGCGGCTACTTATCGCGGATTCCTCTACAAATCGCCATTGATGTTTATATGAATACGTTAATTACAACTTCAATTTGACTATAATTCACACATCAGTCACTTCAAAATGCATCTATTAATTGGCATGTTTTTCAAGTAATTAACAGATATCTCAAATACTAATAAAATCAATGCTGTAGATTGAAAATAGAAACATCAATTACCAACAACAACACTCGGAAAACTTCCGAACAACGAGAAGCTGAAAGTGCGATTCAGAAAAGCTGCAGGGGATGAGAGAGAGATTTCGTGATTGCAAGTGCGCAACGGTTACTTATGGATCTTCTATGAGTACTGTGTGGAGTTCGTGCGTGTATGTGTGTGTAACTGTGGGTGCGAGAAAGAAAGGGCGAAAGGAAATGCAGACTTCTCTGCGTTTCACATTTTGCCGCCTCTCCTATTTTGGAGTTCCCTCGCTTTCCTATTTATGAGTGGGGATTGCACCCGTTTTAACCTGCTCGAACTGTTGAAAGACATTCTTTTGGCGGTTAGTTATTTTTATCTTCCTATACACTATTTGAAATATTATTACCCTCCTTACTCAAGTTTCAATTTAATTACATGGTTATATACAATTTACCAATTATATATAAATAAGTTTTAAATGAGTATCCCTCAATATTAGAAATTGAATAAGTAATATCAGTTATTTCCTTATCCATTTATACTTGCACACTCTCTCTCCGTCTCTCTTTGTCTCTATCACTCTCTCTTGCAAAGCCTAAAGATACACTTCGCTTTAGTTGGTCATATGTCTCTCTCTTTTGCAAAGCCTGAAGACTCGTAAGGAATATCAATTTATGATTTAAAAAGACGAATGCTCAAGAAAGTTAAAATTGCTAAGCCTAGAGATTCACTTCGCTTTAGTTGGGCTATAACATATGCGGAGACTTTAATCTCTCCTAATTCTCTATAGAATTATAAATTTTGAAGTTGGTTGACTCTCCACCATTGACAACCATTAAAAAACTTTGAAGCTTTGAAATCGAATTTGGATTTTCAAAAACTTATTTGTTTGGATTGGGTGTTGTTGCAAACAATTAGAATTATTGTTTGAAATTTATATCTCAATTTTGAGGGTGTTTTGGTGAAGATTAGACTTTATTTTGGTTGAATTTCAGATTGAAACTCGAAAGAAGAAGAAGAAGAAGAAGAAGAAGAAGAAGAAGAAGAAAAAGAACTCATGACATACAATATACTTATGAAATTGTAGTAAAATTGTATTATAATCGTATGTAAATTGTATTCTGTTGTAGTTATATATATCTTTTTATTTGAATATTGTATGAAAGTTGAAAAATAGTTGTATAATGTATGAATCGTTGTAGAAAATTTGTATTTAAGTTATCAATACTATCTTTTTACATAAAGTTATTGATATGTATCAAAATTTTATTAAGAGAGTAAGTTTTGATTGGAATTTTAGAGAGGAAGAAACACACACCACAGACAAAATATATACAAATCATATACAAAAGACATATTGCATAAAATTTGTATTTAAGTTATCAATACTATCTTTTTACATAAAGTTATTGATATGTATCAAAATTTTATTAAGAGAGTAAGTTTTGATTGGAATTTTAGAGAGGAAGAAACACACACCACAGACAAAATATATACAAATCATATACAAAAGACATATTGCATAAAATTTGTATTTAAGTTGTATGATATTGTAGATGTATTTAACTGGGTAGAAATAATGTATGAAAGTTGTAGATAAGTTATAAATAAGTTGTATAATATATAATTAGTTGTATAAAATTTATTTTTACTGTGTATAAATCAGATAAAAAATATACAAAAGACATATTGTACAAAAATTATATAAAAATTATTTTAAAGTTGTATTGTAACGACCCGACCAATCGTTTTGCTTTCTAGAACCCTGTTCCCCTAAATAAGACTTTCCATACGTGCTTTTACTGCTTTATGACTTGCGGGGATGGTTAGTTCGGGATTTGGAAGGGTTCGGGTTGAAATCGGAACACTTGGTTCCTTATGTTGGCCTAAAAGACTAAGTTTGACTTCGGTCAATATTTTTAGTAAACGACCTCCGAATCGAGATTTGATGGTTCCAATAGGTTTGTATGATAATTTCGGACTTGGGCGTATATTCGGATCGCTTTTTGGATGACCCGGAAGTATTTTGGCGCCTAATAGTGAAAGTTGGTTCTTGAAGGTTTTAGAAATTCTTTAAATTTGGTTGGGAGCAGGTTTTGACGATATCGAGGCCCAAACGGAATTTCGAGATCGGGAATAATTCCGTAATGTCACTTAAGACTTGCACGCAAAATTTGGTTTTATTCCGAGTAGTTTAAGTACGTTTCGGCGCATTGGAAGTAAATTAAAGAACTTGAAGTTCTTAAGTTTGACTCAATTAGTTTTGGGGTGCGATTTTTAGTTTTAAGGTTGTTTCGGGCATTCCGAGAGTTTGAGCGAGTCCGTTCTATGATTCTAAACTTGTTGGTATGTTCAGGCGGGGCCCGGGGGGGCCGAGTGTCGATCGGACGAGGCTTGGACCAAGTTGGGAGCATGGAGCCACAACTGAAGCTCCCAGATCTGTCATAATCGCACATGCGCTTGGCCAGCCGCAGGTGCGGGCTCGCAGGTGCGAGCCACGAGCCACATAAGCGAGAGAGCAAGGGCAGCCCAGGAACCGCAAATGCGGAAGATTGGGCGCACCTGCGCGACTGCAGGTGTGAGAGCTTTGGTCGCAGGTGTGACTAGGCCCGCAGAAGCGGCCTCTTCTGTCCGCAGATGTAAAGACTGGCCAGGTGAGGGAAAAGTGCACCTGCGAGGCATTTGTCGCAGGTGCGAGACCACAGATGCGGCCAAGGCACCGCAGGTGTGAAAGTCACTGGACAGTGAGGGTTCATTTAATACGGACTTAGGCCATTTTAATCATATTTTCTCTCACTCTTGGGCGATTTGAGAGCTTTGAAGGAGGGGATTTCGACCTAGTTGTAATGACCCAACCGGTCATTTTAACTTTTAGAACCCCGTTCCCTAAAATAAAACTTTCCGTATGTGCTTTTAATGATTTATGACTTGCGAGGATGGTTGGTTCGGGATTTGGAAGTGTTTGAGTTGAAACCGGGACACTTGGTTCCTTAAGTTGGCCTTAACGTGCTAAGTTTGACTTCGGTCAATATTTTGAGAAAACGACCCCAGAATAGAATTTTGACAATTCCAACAGTTCCGTATGGTGATTTTGAACTTAGGAGCGTGTTCGGAATTTTATTTGGAAGTCCGTAGTTAAATTAGGTTTGAAATGGCTAAAATAAGAATTTAAGTTTGGAAGTTTGACCGGGGAGTTGACTCTTTGATATCGGAGTCGGAATCCAGTTCTGAAAATTTTCATAGCTCCGTTATGTCATTTATGACTTGTGTGCAAAATTTGAGGTCAACCGGACTTGATTTGATAGGTTTCGGTACCGAATGAAGAAGTTGGGTATTTTAAGTTTCATTAAGCTTGAATTGGAGGGTGATTCGTGGTTTTAGCGTTGTTTGATGTGATTTGAGGTTTTGACTAAGTTAGTATGATGTTTTAGGACTTGTTGGTATAATTGGTTGAGATTCCGAGGGGCTCGGGTGAGTTTCAGACGACTAACAGATCACTTTTAGCCTTTGGAACACTGCTGATAACTACTGGTATTTTTCTTCTGGTATCCTTATACGCGATCGCGTAAGTTGGTCTGCGATCGCGTAGAGTAAGTTAGGCAGAGGTGGATTTGTTCTACGCGATTGCGTGAATGAGGTTGCGATCGCGTAGGCTTAATTTGGCAGCTGAGAATTTGTTCTATGCGATCGCGTGAGCAAGTCCACGATCGCATAGGTTGGATTCAGTGTTGCTATGCGAACGTGTGGCTAAGGTTGTGTTCGTGATGAGTAAACGAAGCTGAAGCTGACCACGCGCTTAATGCTTCGCGATCGCGTGAGGTGGCTCGCGATCGCGTAGGCTTGCGGAGACTGTGCTTCGCGATCGCGTGGGGCTTGATGCGATCGCGTAGGGTTAATGTTTGGGCAGAAAATTTTGTGCTACGCGATTGCGTGAGGAAGTTCGCGATCGCGTAGAAGAAATCACTGGGCAGAGAGTTTAAGTTCTGAAAATGGGTCTTCATTCCATTTTCCATTTTTTAACGATTTGGAGCTCGGATTTAGGAGATTTTCATAGAAAATAATGGGGTAAGTGTTCTTAACTCAATATTGGTTAAATTACCCTAATCCATCACTATTTTTATCATTTAATTGGTGAATTGAGTTGGAAAAGTTTCAAAACCCTTTTGGATAAATTTGAGGATTTGAGGGCCGAATTGCTATCGGAATTTAGTGATTTTGGTATGGGTAGACTCGTGGTTGAGTGAGTGTTCATATTTCGTAACTTTCGCCGGATTCCAAGACGTGGGTCCCACGGACAAATTTTTAATTAATTTCGGAATTTTTATTGAAAATACAGTATTTCTTATAGAATTGATTCCTATAATTTTTAGTGATTGTATCGAATTATTTTTTGCTAGATTCGAGCCAGACAGAGTTGGATAATCGTGGAAAGGGCCTTCTAGAGGATTAAATTGGAGCAAGACGAGGTAAGTCTTTTTGTCTAATCTTGTGAGGGGGAAATTACCCCATAGGGATTAAATTGAATATTGTTGCTAATTGCGGGGGCTACGTACGCACGAGTTGACGAGATTCCGTACGTAGCTACTATAAATGCTAAAGTCCGGGTAGTTTAGGACTCAAAGCATGAAATACTTGTGTAAATTGTATTCCTTGATTAATTAATATTAATTGATATATATGATATATTGTGAATTGTTAGATAAAGATGTTAAAGGATGAAAATCCCATATGCTTGATTTTCTGTTTAAATCAATTAATTGCTAAAAAAAATTGTTCTCCTCCCGAATTTATCTTATAATAAAAATACTCTCCTTCCGAAGGTACATAAGAAAAGGTCCTCCTTTCTTGTGGAGCGGGCCGAATGCCTCGACAGGATAGATGTATCTATGGATCGCGCCGCACGTCCTTCGGCAGTGTACACGATACTCTGGATCGGGCTGTACGTCCTCGGCAGAAATCATGCTTAATAATAATAATTACACGATACTTTAATAGTTTATTTCAGCTTGCGAAGCTAATTGATAAATTGAAAAATCCTTGGAATTTAATGAATTATTATTCTTGCTTATTAAAGAATTAATTGTTATTCCTGTAAATGATATTTAATTGATAAATTGGAAATTATTTGAATTGAAGGAATTTGATTATTTCCACTGATTAAATAAATTATTTTAAATTCTGTAAACTATGTTGATTTAAATATCCTAGTTGTATTTCAATTATTATTATTGACCCATAGTGAGTGTCAAAGTCAGTCATCTCGTCTCTACCACTTTGAGAT